CTACTCGTTTTTTTTCTGTAAAAGAGATAATACATTTCGTAGCTAAAACCTGTTAAGGGTATCCTCTCTGTGCGTCGTTTAAGAAACATTCCAACTTCCGCAACGGTTTCACTAACTTCTACGAGTTAACTTAAGTATATTTAAGTTAACTTTATTTTATTTTATCTTAGTTATTTTCGGGTTAAGATTTTCTCTTTTTTCTTTAGTAGAAAGAGGAAAACTTAAAAATTAGATGTTAACTTAAAATAAGATTTTAAAATTATGACAATTTTCGAAAGAAAAGGTTACAAGTCAATTTTTGTTGTCTAGGAACAATATATTATATTCAATTCACGAACATTGCCAATAATATTAATTACCGGTGGGAAATTAATACAACTGACTTGTCGTGTGAACGAATTTGTTTTCTTTCGTATTTTCAGCGCGTGCATTTTTGCAATACGAAAGTTAAAGATAATGTAATTTGAATAATGGATTTCAACAACATATGTGGCGTACAAGTTAAACAGGTGTGAACTACACAGAGAAAACTAACCGCAGCCGTTTTACATGTTTTTATCTACTATCTTCTTTTTACTAGTTATAACACTGAGCCTAACAGCTGTAGTTCGAAGATTACACTAAAAGAATAGTAACGGGCTTCGAGATCGTTATATCCATCCCATCTTTTTTGCAGAAAACTCTTCATTTTAAGCTAAATATAGTCTAATGAAGGCGAAAGTTTGGGCTGTAAAATAAAACCACGCCCAGCCCTCCAGGATCTTTCTTGAAAAAGAGATGAAATTTTTAAGTTTTCCTTCAAGGCCTAGAAAATCTCAATTTTTAGTTTCGTAGATTTCCTCTTCTTTCCTATATATTCAAAAAATAGAGATAATAGAGAGAACAATAATTAATCTAAAAAGTTTTTTGGGATTAATATAGCATACTGTCAACGAAATACTATATGTTCAAAATAACCTTGATTACAGGAAAGAGTTCATCGTTCATAAATAATAGGAGTTTATTATACTCAAATTCCATAGTTCAAGCAATAATAAATATATTTTTATTATGACACTTGATAAACAAAAAGAATTGATGGTTCTATGAGTTATACACATTAACACTTATAAACAATCCGTAATAGTTGTATGTAGAGCAAGTAAGTTCTTTTTTGCATGTATCTTCTTGGAGTTTACTAAAGTACTATAATTGAGAAGTGTATAACTAAAGTTTAAATAACTTCATCACCATAGCTCGCAGGTTTATAACGAGGACAGCTTTCAAAGTGTCTTATCGATTTTTCCTTCGAAATTTATTTGATTATAGACAATTTAATTATCTATAATCATGTGAGTTTTACTTGGAAAGTTTTCCTCGTCACAAAATGCATGTTATATCATAAAATATTGCTTCACATACCAAATGTCAAGTTCAACTAGACTTTGTCCTTTTCATTTTCTTTCGCAATAGCTAATGAGTACTTTTTCCTATACTTGATTACTTTGAATAAACATTTACACGTATATTTCTAGTTTACATGATTTGATTCTCTATACCACGCATCAATTTATCATTGAAAATAGTTATTTCCTGATCAAATACTGTGTCAATGGAGATTAGATTCCCTTTCGAAATCATGATCAGAAATTTTTTTTCTAATAATAACCATTGTTTATATAAAATTTTATAAGCCATCTCTCCACTGATCTCTAAGCCATATTCTTTACCCGTGTAATAATCAGAATCATTTCGTATATCATACTATCAACGAAATACTATGTGTTCAAAAAAAACATTGATTACAGGAAAGAATTCATTGTTCATAAATATAATAGGAGTTCATTATACTCCAAGTCCGTAGTTCAAGCAATAATAAATATATTTTTATTATGACATTTGATAAATAAAAAGGATTGATGGTTATATGATTTATACTCATTAAACTTATACATAATAAACCAGAATAACACTATAGGACGAGTACATATCTGTGGTTGATCAAAAAACTAAATTGACATGTCTTTGTTCAACATAATCAAAAAAACAGAGCCGCTCCTGAATCTATTATTTTCTTAAAGAAGTGTCACACACAAAAAAATATATATTAAAAAGAAAAAAACTGCCCTAGGGAAGTGCTTTTTTACTTTGTTTCAGAACTAACCAATTGATCACATACCGGAACTTGACTTGTAAATGGTATTCATCCTTTGAAATTATCTATATGAACAGTTTATGCAGAAAGACAAATGGAATTTTTCTTTTTCTGATAACTGCTTTCACTAGGAGATGTGTTAAGTGCTTATTATACAGAATGACTTAGAGTTAAAGTACAAAGTTGCGAACTAGGTCTTGAACTTTTTCATATTTACAGGCTACCCAAAAAGGTTTTTTTACGATGTTAAACAGAAAACGTATTGTTCATCGATACCAACAACAAATTTTCCTATTGTGTTTCTATCGGTAAACTATCAGCTGCTCCACACAAAAATATGATGTTCTATGTACTTCGCTTGTGTATCATGTACTAAAGCATACTGAACAGTAGAAATATCAAAATCAAAAAAAGGAGGTTTAATAGAAATTTTAGTTGACTCACCCAGATAGAATAAACTTAGATAAGAAAGTTTTACAGGATACAATATAAGGATCGAGTATTTATATTTCTCTACTTCCACTATGCATTTCACTACGTTGTACTATCAAACACTTTTCCCATGAGCTAATTTCTGACATCTTCGATTCTAAATTTTGATATCAAACTTCTAAAACCTATTATTTCTTGTTAACAAACGATGAACTCAAAATGGGCATATATCACATCATTGAATAACTAAATCATCTACTATCTGAAATCAACAATAGAATTGTGTATAATCAATGTGTTTGTATTCTTAAAATATTTGTGGAATCTAAAATATAATTCTTATTTTGAGAACATTTTTTTCCTTTTCTTTTTCGTGTTCTAGACTTTTCGTTTTTTTTTCTTTCGAAGTACGTAGCTATATGTAGAATCGTATAACTATTGTCTTCTTTGTAATTTTTTCTGAACTACATATTGTGAATTTAGGTCTGTTTTGTAGCGTTTACTGTATTAGGAAACCTTATTTTCTATTATCTCTCACCATCTGTTAATCAAATAAGCAAAATTATACTATTACGCATAGAAGTTTAAGTCGCTTAATAAAATAATTACACACAAAAGGGATATAACATATTACTGGAAGAAAAATAAAGTTGGTTTTGAGTTGCTGAAAAGTACTTTTTTGTATTCAACACATTCGATAACCCCGAAGATTTTCTATTTTTGTTGAAGAGTACTTCCCAAAGTTTAGGAAAAATTTTTAAACTAATATTATTCTCCCATGAAAATTTTTTAGCGCCATTTTGCTTAAAAATTTTTCACAAACTTTTAGAAATACCCTTAGCTAAAAATAGAAAATCTTCCGGATTATCGAGTGCACTGAGTATGAAACAGTACTTTCTAGAAACTCAAAATGAACTTTATTTTTTTTCCAGTAATATCTTATGTCCGTTTTGTGTGTAATTATTTTATCAAGCGACTTAAAACTTTTTTTTGTTCCGGTGATATGATTAGTTGAATTGTTTTCTTTACAGAAGTAAAAAAAAAGTCCGTTTTTTGTCCTATTAAGTAATAATAACAAGTGGAGAAGGAGGACTTAATTCAAAATTTTTCTTAAAAGGTCTTGTTTGTTCAAGAAGTAAGAAGAACTAATTTAATCAAGAGGAATAAAGATTAGGTTGTATTTATTATTTTTCTGTGTTTTTCTATTAAAAACTGCAAAAAGAGTATTAGATGATGAAGAGAAATAAACACCGTTATCATTGTTATTTTAAGAAATAAAATATGTTTTTGTTTGACGTTATCTCATTTTACGAGGTAACCGTCTTAGATGATGATTAAAAGCTTTTCTAATTAAAACTCGTACTTTTACAGTAATATTTGATACTGTTCACGAATCTGATATTTATTCAGAACCATGATAAATTTTAATACCTGTCTCTAGGAATTTTTATTGAGTTACAAGATTATTACTCCTAGATCTGCGTGTTTTTACCTATTTTTAAACTTTATTTCATTTCAATAGAAACTTATTTAAGGTAGGTATAAAAAGAAAGCAAAATTTTAGAAATAGGTAATCAAATTTTTCATGGACCCAAATGAATATCAAATTCGTGATCAGGGTTCTCGATCAGGCTGGTGGGCAGAGAGGTGCTGGCTCCTCCGTAAAAAGTTTGTGGACAAATCTTTCTGGCAAAATCTTTGACGTTTTTCCACCAGTAACTTTCTGCCAAAAATATTGAAAACTTGTTTTTGCCAGCCACTTTCTGCGAAGCAAAATTTTTAGCCTCTCCCACTCTCTGGGAACAATCGGAAACCCTGTTTGTGATCAACATCAAGAATGAATCTAGAAAAACTAGTTTTAATCAGGAAACAAGATTTTCTTATTAATATAAGAGGTATGATAAAACAAAAGATTGTCGGTATTAAAATATTCATTCGTCTGTATTAAGGTCTCAGCGAAACTCTGAAATGTTGGATGTTTTTCTGCAATCAACTGAGTATAATACATCTCTAGGTCATACGAATAATATTTAACCCTTTCTGAGGTTTAATATTTGCGTGTATACTTTTCAAGATAGAATAATTGAACTTCCTTGTTTCTTTACACTCTGTTGCTTATATATTAGAGAAATCGATAAAATAATTTTTCGGCATAAAATCATAATGCAGTTTTATCTATGTGTGACAACTGAAACAATGTAAACTTGTAACTTTGAACATAATAAAAGATAAAAATTGAGTTATTTGGCATAAAAGCTAAAAAAAAGAAAGAGAAATTCTTTTTATGTGACGGATATTTATACTAAATGTGTTTTTACATTAATAATAGAAATGAGGAGAGAGAGCGAAAGTTAAAACGACGATATGGTAATGATGATAATAGTATATAGGTAGCATTTCTTTTTGTTTAATTCAAGAGAATAGTAAAAATATCATGGACGATAATGAAACGTTCGCCGATGCATTTATAGGATGTTATCCTAATGACGCACGATATGCTTCTGAAATATTAGTTCTTTGTAATCAATATCATGGTTATAATAGTATAGTATGCAAATGGGTTAAACAAATATTCATTGCCGACTGTTATTTAAGTAGTTTTTTCTATCATTTGACAGCAATATTTGTGATTATTGGTACCATATTAAATTGTTTTTCATTATATTGTTTTATTAAAATAACTAAACGTAATTCTCAAAATATTTATTTATCAGCAATATCTTTGGCTGATACAATTAATTTACATACAAATTTTTCAATACCATTATTGAGATATTTTTCTATTAATTTTGATCGATTATTTAAACGTTCAGCTTGGATATGTCAAATTCATAGTTTTACAACAGAATTTTTTATCATATTTCCAACATGGTTAATTGTTTTAGTTACACTTGAACGTTTAATTAGTATTGTTTGGCCACTAAAACGACATTATTTATGTACACGAAATCGTGCAAAAATTTATATATCATTATTAGCATTTATTTGTATTTTATTAAGTTCCTATCGTCTTCTAAATGAAACGGGTATTGATCATGTTAGTGTTTTTCGAGTAGCAACATGTCATAAAGCAAAAAATAATTTTATTTGGTTAAGAGATTTAAATTTAATTATATGGGCAATTGTGCCCGAATGTTTATCATTTTTTATGAATTTAATTATTATATCTGTTATAAGACGGACTACACACAAATTAGAACATTTTTATCCTGAAGCAAAAGTTATTCAACATAATCAAGCAACAAAAACTGTTTTATTGATATCATGTTTATTTCTTATATGTCATACACCAACAGGTTGATAAACAAATCGTTAATACTCTAAGAATAGAAAATTAATTGATTAATTTCTGTTTCTAGGTGTGGTAATTGGTTTTCATTTATTTTTCAAAGAACATGGTTCAATAATTGGTATAGTGGCTGTTTTATTTTTGAGAAAAATAACTGTGATACTTTATGAAATAAGTTTATGCTGCAAATTTTTTATCTATAATTCAACATTTCGTGATTTTAGGTAAGTAGACTGCTGTTATATTTACATGTACATAATATTATATTATTTATTTTAGAGCAATTTTAAAAAGGTCTTGTCATCGTATTGATCACAAAAATTCTACAAATTTAGGTAAACAATTGTTTTTATTTTCTCCCAATCATATTGAATTTATATTTAAATCACGTGATCCTCATAATCAAACTGAATCACTCTTGAATGCAAATGATGATGTATGTGGTGATAAAGTATATAATGTTGATGATGTTGATGTTGATGGTGATGGTGATGGTGATGGTAGTTTATCACCATCACCGTCAAGTGAGCATCGTAATTCAACTAATTCAAAATGGAGTAGTCCAACAACTTCAAATTGTCAACAATTTGATATTCAACAACAACAATATAGAAGTAAATTTATAACAAAACTGGATAATATTATCATTTACAATGGAAGAATTCAAACGAGACGAACATCAATGTCAGCTGAACAAAAATCATTACCTATACAACAAAATATTCAGTCAGTATCGCCTGTACGGCAATGGCATCGACGAACACTAGTAACTATGTAAAAGTGAAGTAAATATTTTTTTGTAAATATAGACATTATAAAATAGGCAATAATAAATTAAAAGGATAGTATATCATGAAATGAAACTATTCTAAGATAAAAAATACAAGAATTTAACTGATCGATGATTAAGCTCTATAATGGAATATTTTTCAAATTAATTTACCCTTTTACTTTATATTCTGTTTCTTGTGAATAAACATGTCGTTGAATTATTGCTCAATACGTTCACCGATATTCACTTAATCTAATCACAGGGAAGGTAATCTGTCTACAAGATTTTAGAAGTGCAGTTATCTACAAAAATGAACAACAATTTGAAAAAACTTGTGAGTAATTTTAGTGAGTAAAATCATGGACAAGGATTTTTTTAGAGAACAACATTTGGGCAAAAAAGAGAACAGTTGCCTCTTTATGTTTAAATTCTGAATAAATAGAGAACGGTCAGAATTATAAAACAAAAAATTAGACATTTATACTATATATATTCGACGCCAAAAAATTCTTGTGCAAAAAAAGTAGAAATATACACGGCATATCAGAAAAGTCGAGAAAAACTGCAATTTTTGGGTGTACCACATTTATTTTTCTCGAAAAAGGCATACAATCAATCTTTTAACCGATGAAACTGCATTGTTACCAAAACAATTAATCGAATCCTTATTGAATGTGATGTGGGAACAACAATTTCAAAAATATTATGGAAATTACAGTTGTATATTTTATAACACTTTGAGACCATTTTAGCGCTAACGTGTCCAATTCTTGACTTGTAATAATATTTTGAGATCAAATAACTAATCAGAGTCAATTTCTTCCATTTTTTCGTTTATACTTTCAAGCTCATTATTTGTTGACGAGTATCCTAAAATGGCATCGTTCTCTCTTTAATCTCGTTCTGTAAACAGAGTAACAAATTAAATAATTTGCATCTCGTTCTCTTTTTGTACCATTTCCCAAAATCATATATAAAAGAAAAATGAGCTCAACTCTTTACTAGGCATGAGTACATGTCGTTTGTGAGAAAGAACCAGTCAGTATTTATAAGAAAGAAGAAGCTATACGATTAATAGCCTCAATAAGAGAAATAAGTGGTTCATATTTAAATTGGACAGAGTGCGTGATCTTTTGTTAATACCAAACATTTTACTAAAGAAAGTTAACAATTTTGAAATTTATAAGAAATTAATGCTGAAATAGAAACTATCATATTATATCCTTAACTTTGATAAACAAACATTGTAAAAAAACACCTCTCTCGAACCACGAGGGAACGTTCCCAAGTGTCCAATCGCTTTTCTCTTAAAACGTACGCGATTGTGGGTAATCTATGATGCTGATCATGAATCTGATATCTGTTTCTGCTGCTGGGCCTTTCTGTAGTGGCTCGCTGAAATTCGGGTGTCCGAAGACCCGCGATGAACTTCCAGCAGATCATATTATAGCACTGTCAGATTATAGAGCACTTGAATTGCCTATATGGAAAAATGTGCAGAAGCAATGAACAAGTTTTCGCAGACATGGAAAAATTTTACTTTCTAATCCAGTGACGAACCAAAATATTTCAGGTTTTTGAATCCTAAAATTTTTCTATGTCTGTGAAAATTTGTTCATTTGCTTCTGCACGTTTTTCCATATAGGTAATTCAAGTGCTCTATAATCTGACAGTGCTATAATATGATCTGCTGGAAGTTCATCGCGGGTCTTCGGACCCCCGGATTACGGCGACCCACCACAGAAAGGCCCAGCATCAGAAATGGATATCAGATTTATGATCAGCATCAAAGATTACCCACAATCGCGTACGTTTTAGGAGAAAAGCGATTGGACACTTGGGAACGTTCCCTCGTCAGACGTGACTCTTGTACTCTGATTATGCAAGGTAGTGTTCTACTAGTGCGCCCTCAAGATATCAGTTTAATTATATGTTATCCTCAACGAGTGATTTTTAATTATTGAAATTCATTTTTGTACATATATATATATATAGATTAAGTAGGTGATCATACATCTCATTACCAGTTCTTTGTCAGATGTCCAATGTGTTCATTGATCGAAGTCAAGGAATTAATATCATAGTTTTAGAAGAGAATAACTCTGTGCTTTCTCAAAAGTACTCGCAGGCAATCTGAATGTGTTATTGATTTGTTCACTTCAGTTAACAGGAAAGAAGTCATGGGATTATTAGAAAATGAAATGAAAAATTTGGAATACTCATAAAAAGCCCCATTTTCAGGCGTACTGACTCATAGTCAAAATAAGAAATTAAGCATATCGTGATACAGGAAAATTCAACAACAAAGCAACTGTTAATTATGAGTCGAACCATAAGATATTCGAAGTAATATATTGAGAAATATTATATTAAAACCTACTTTTGTTTTCTAAAATAACTCTTTATCTAAACTTGAATGGGTTCTCTCTTCATTTGAACTTAGTGAAGCGAGATTTCTATTCTACCAACGGTTAAAGTTGTAGCTCATCAATGAAACGTTTATAAGAAATTGCATGATGCAGTCTAGACTTTAAAAAGAGGGTGTTCAGCCAGCAGATGTCTCCCTTCAGTTTTAGTTAGTTAAATTTCTTCCGAAGAGTCATTGCATGAGAAAAACGACAGCTTGCCACAGAAGCATGCTTAATGACCATCTTAGATTTTTTCCAAACCGATTTCATTTTGTAGAGTATATCCGAAAACCTAGAAATCCAAAGTTTTGGTCTTAATGGACCACTGGTTTGAAAGTTATTAATGGGACTGGGAAGTTATGAATTTTTTCGAAAACCTTACATGTTCAACTTGTCTCGAACTTTTTACGCGATTTTCTACCTAGAATGACGTTAGAGTGATTCAATCATATGCATTTGACAACCGGTCATATAAAGCACTCTTTAAAACCGCGGGCTTTCAAAAGGATCGTGGAAAAACCGCGAAGGTTTTCTGGTAAACGCTTGAATTTTCTAAAAAAGATTGTTAACATTTTTTTAAGGTTCGTACTTTTAAGATTCAGCCGCCAATAAAGCCGCTAGAAATTTCGGATTGGTTTCAAAAAATAGAGAAATGTTTTTTTTCTATGCTGTGACCTCGTCGGACTTTTCAATTTAAGTTTAGTTTCGGAGGAATTTAAAAAGTTTCCGAGAGTTAGAGAGATTTTATTTACTTTTCGGAAACTTTTTAAATTGCTCCGAAACTAAACTTAAATTGAAAAGTCCAGCAACGTCACGACATAGAAAAAATATTTCTCTATTTTTTGAAACCAATTCGAAATTTCTAGCTGAAAAATGACGAAGATATCTTGGAAGTGCGAAACGCTATAGCCGTAAAAACAGATTCTGAGAAAAAACGTGAAACAAGTTTACGAAATGGAAAACGAAGAAGGAAAGAAATATAATAATAGTTTACCATAGGTTTTTGCTTATGCTAAGTCCAATGAGCGTATGCAGAGACATGTGCGGCATGTATTTTGCATTTTAGAATTGAAGACCTTCAGAAAACCAGCTGGAAAACCAACAAAAGCCATTTTTCAACGCATAAAGATTAGTGCGTTGGAAAGAGGATGCTTTGGACTTTTCAACCATATATAAATCTCAAAATCAATTTTTTGGACGAAAATTTATTGTTCTGAGTGGAGGGAGCCCTTAAATTACATAGCGTTAAATTATGAGAAAAATGATGTGTAACTCGACCTTTTGCGAATTATTGCTGAATACAACAAAATAGAACTACAGAAAGGAGGATTTTATAGCAAGGACTTTTTGGCTTCAAAATTCTATTAATCATAACTTTCCTAGGATTCTTTCGAAAACGTCGAGTTACACATCATTTTTCTCAGAATTTAACGCTCTGTTCAGCTATGTAATTTAAAAAAATTTCAACAATCTTTTTTAGAAAACTCAAGCGTTTACCAGAAAACCTTCGCGATTTTTCCACGATCCTTTTGAAAGCCCACGGTTTTGAAGAGTGCTTTATATGCCCGGTTGTCAAATGCATATGACTGAACCACTCTCGCGTCATTCTAGGTAGAAAATCGCGCAAAAAGTTCGAGACAAGTTGAGCATGTAAGGTTCTCGGAAAAATCGGGTTTTCCGGTTGAAAAACTGAGATAAAAGACCTTTAAATGCGCTACTGAAAAGCCACGGTTACAAAGTTGCCTGTAGTGAAAACATCTCGTTCTTATTACTTATACTGACGGGGAAATCTGGCTTTTAATTTTTTCCTAGTCTTTGGCCCTAAAATAGTCTTCGAGCAGTCCGATTAATAACTTTGGATTTTTAGGTTTTCGGATATACTCTACAAAATGAAATCGGTTTGGAAAAAATCTAAGATGGTCATTAAGCATGCTTCTTTCGTGGCTTTCGTGCAGTGACTCCTAAAGTTAGCCTCTAGCTCGGACCTTTTAGATGTATAAACTTATTTCGCTGTCAAAAAGTTACCGAACGTGCGTATATATTTTCTTTTATTCATTACAATATCATCATATACTTGTTCAGTTTAAAAAGTTAACAAAACAGACAATAAATTCTTTGAAGCTGCACAACTACTGCAGGTATAAATATTAGTATTCAAATGTAACAAAGGATGAGGGAAAAAAATCTCTTACACTCAGTTTGACATATTAGAGGAAAAATTGTCAGAAAAACTTAATGTTCTATTACTAAACAAAGACATTAACAAACATATTTGAGTGAAACAGAAATGAAACAGTTGTGAGAAAACTTCTTATTGATACAAGAAAAAAAAGTTCAAAAACATGCACAAAGAGATCAAAGAGATGCGCTGAAATTTGCTGTTGTCATATTTTCTTATTCTAAATGGTAATCTTGTAGCATCATATTATTGTTAAACCACAATTTATCATTTATCATCATATTTTCATTAGATAGAGAATACATTTCTTGTTCTGATGTTGTCGTATCAAAATATTTATTATTTATTTCATTCATATAATTCAAATGCTTTTGTGCGTAACGATTTTCTCGATGACGACCATCTCTACTATCTTTTTGTTTCATATAGCACGAAATATCTGAACAATCAGATTGAACAGATAAACGAGATGATGACGATAGACAGGTACGTTTTAATGACTGACGTTTATTATAATACCATACTTGAATAACATAACGAGGATAATTTAGTTTTTCGGATAATATTGTTATGTCGGCACCTAAGATTAGTAATGACACCCAATGAATATTCCTTACAAATTCTTAGAAAAACTTACGTGTTGGCATAGGATTGTTCCCAAATGCTATATTTAATAGATCTAGATCAGTTGCTGTAAATTTTGTTCGTTTTCGACTATTGCGAATATTTTTATTTTCAATTCTTTTTTGATTATTTTTATCCAGTACTCTAAAAAATCATATTAAAGAATATGTTATTAGACTAAAGATTTTAGAATAACTGATAACTAAGTTACATGCGTATTCCGTTAAAAATTTTCTAAAAACATTCATTCATTATAAGAGCAAATTAATGAACAGAATAAAATAAAAGTTGCGTACAAACATGCATATACTACAGCAAGTTTGATTGTTCTTAAATTACACATTTGAGCCATCGGATTGTATTTCTGAAAGGTAATTTAAATTGCCACTTAGATCACTTCCATAATCGCAACTTGTACCGGTTGCTGATGCACCACCACTTGCATCAAGTTCTGAATTTGTGTATGCTGAGTAACTTGTACTATTTTGTGCTAGAAAAAAAGATATAATTTAACTTCTACTTCATTTAAAAATAGACGAGATGACATTATTGCTGCATGAAAATGGCATTTCTTGTATCCAGAATACAAATATCTATTAAGTGTGAAAGAAACTAATATAAAACATAATGAAAAAACGAACCAGGCATTAATTGATCGTCGTTGAAAATTTCATCTTGTTTTTTTGGCAAGAATTCTCGATGACAACTATCATACATATCACTGAAACGAAATATTAAAAAAGATGAATCAACATGTTGTTCAGTTGTAATTTCTCCTTACCTCTGATACTCCCACTCAGATATGTTCAAATCTGACGGACATTCTGAACAATATCTTTGTCTATCAATGCTGTTTTCATTTAGATCATCAAAATCACTGTCATCTTTGAGAGAACATGTATCGTCAATATTAACTGCTGAATTAGACATATCAACAATATTACCATTGAAGATCTAATAACAAAGTAAAAAAAGAAATTGATTGACTAGAAAAAAACCAAAATAACTTACCGGACAAGATATAGAATATTCTGCTAAATTCTTGACCATATTTAAAAATGAATAGGAAGATAATTTTTCAAAGTCAGAATCGATTGGCATAACTGTATTCATTAATGGTTGCACTGAATCGTAATAATGAACTAAAGCGAGAAAGTGGGAGAGAGTGAGGGATAATAATGTTGAAACGTTCAATGATATCTTATAATAGGCATCTATTACTTACACAATTGTCTTGGACTTGGAGCAAGAATACATTTGCCATATGGTAAAGGGATGTTTAATGGATCTTCTTCATTTGCAAATGTTGATGGTAAAGTAAGAATATGTGATGGTTCACCTACAAGAAATAATTTTATTATTCATTCTTATTATATGTTAGAAATTAAACAAACCCAATGTTACAGGAGGAATAAGAAACTGAATTGTGCGATTAGTCATTTGCATTGTTGATATTGTATAATCAAGTCTTTCGTCATTGACATCTATGAACAAAAGAGCAAAAGATTGAAAATACATTTTAGCCTTTAGACTTACCACAATTATTAATTTCGTTCTTGCTAACAAGAGTCAAAGTGGTATTGATAGAATTAGTCATTAAAAGAATTGAAAATAAAAATACTAGAATGTAAAAAACCTTTGTCTGAACCATATACATCAATAAATCATTGTTTCTGAAAATGATTAGTAAGTGATCACTCGCAGTTGTAAATTTGTGGAAAGCAAACGAAGCGCATTTTCCTACAGTTTACAGCCAAGAGAAGAACTTTTCAAACTTGCTGAAATCAACAATAGCAGAAACCAAAGAATAAAAAGTATGGAATGAAGCACCAAGCAGATGGTAAATACTATAGCTACACATCTGCAATATCGATAAATGACACACGAAACACTATAAAATGTTATTCACGGGACATTAAAGAAACAGTCAATACAACCTGCAGTTTACAGAAATGATTCGCGACTATCTTTAAATATGACAAATTAAGCGTCTGCTAAAACGCCACGCACCGTCGGATATAAAAAAAATCGGTTAATAGGCGCCGATAGTTTTATGTGTCGTTTGGTTTTATTTGAACTATCATATGTGTAAAATGGTGTTTCCATTGATTCGAACGTATGTGTACTCTGGAATGACGCATGTGCACACGGAAAATATATGTCGCATAATATATGACAGATATCCCGCCATATGTTTCGACACAATAAAGACGATGATAGACAGCATACGTTAGAACGATAAACTGAACTTGATAATAGCAGAAAGATGCGTGAAGAAGGCATACAATAGCGATACTGAACAGCAAATAGTTACGTAAAAAGTTTATTCTGCTAGAAAAGTTCTGAAGCAGTTTCTTGGTACTAGTGGTCCTTTTACTTTGAAAAGATGGACTTTGAGTAAAACTTTTTCAGCTAAAGTGTCGAGTATCTTTTCACTAATTTTTTAAATTTCTCCTAAATAAGAGCATCGACATGATCTTCATGGCATACGTATATATTCTGATGTATCATAAAGATTTTTAGATCGAAATGTGTCGATTCCAGTGACTATACGCCTCCATCCAAACGACAAATAGTTGAGATATTGAGTTAGTGTCAGTGTGTACACGACAGTCGGGTTGTTCGAACATATTCTTAAAAGTCAAAAAATCCATTATGCTGTCATAGTTTGATGATTTCGCTTTCGAAAGAGTTATGAGATACACTGCCTGCAGGTGATATTTTCATTTAAACGATATCTGATAATCATCTATCTACTTTGTTTAATGTAATTTAATGCTGTCCTTGTAGCATATTTATTGATTAAGATTTGATGAAGAAAACTGGGATTAATGTTCGAAAATTGCTTTTGATAGAATTTTTCAACCAGTTTTCTGAGAAACTTACAAAATATCCACTTATTTTCCAATCGAGCCAATCGATTTTCTCAATAAATAAGAATTGGTGTAAAAGCATTATTTTATCTTTACCTAAAAACTGCGATTTTTTATCAAAAGAGAATATGTAATAGTTTTTTATTCATTTTCTGTTTAACCAATTGCCGAACTTTGTTTTTCCTAAAATAAAATTTCCTTTTCATGAGTGGAAAAAAATAGTCACACATGATGGGTTTACAGGTGTACGAGAATGATGAGATTTTCTCTTGTGCATTGAACAGGTAGTACAAATAACTAAATAACATCCAAAGAATATTAATTGACAAAAAAGTGATGAAATTGATATAAAAACCGTAACGTCGTAATTGAATTCTGACTAATACTTTTACTCACCCTTTAAAGTCATACTATGCTACTACATTCTATAAGAATGGAACCATAAAATGATCAATAACAACTCTTTTGTTTGTTTTGTCAGCGATTATTGAGAAATAACCAGTTGGAAGAGCAGTAGTAAATAAATAAGAAAAAAAAAGGATAGGACAGCTACAAATATCATTTTGATTTTATTCAAAAATCACAACTAAATTTGACAACTTCAAGCTTTCAATAAGTTACGCTCATCATTATCAGGAAACATACGGAAAAGGATATATATGACGCACTGTATATATACCCAACTTTAACTGCTCTTAGAACGAACAAGAAAAATAAAATTATACGAACTGTTCTAAAAACGAAGAAGAAACAATGAAACTGTATGAACTATTCGTGAATAGTTGCTCGTAGAACATAATACTACTCAATACAAGTGAGCATCGGTTTCAAAAAAACGTTCATACTAAAAAGTATTTTTCACCACGGTAATATTTGTCACAGTCTTTGCATGGAAATCGATAAATCACTCTCTTGTGTCTTTGAGCACTTTTTGTAATGGTAGCAAATACTTTTTAGTGTGAACATTCTTTTGAAGTCTTTACACATATGATAGTTCAAATAAAACCAAACGACACATAAAACTATCGGCGCCTATTAATCTATTTTTTTTCAGTGATTGATTATCTAATGATGAAAATGACATCTTAGACGAGACACTTTGTGAAGCGAACTTGTGGAATAAAGATAAATGTAGCAAATGGAAACACGAGTCTTGATGATAACAGCATCAAAATCAAAATCGTAGTTTGTTCAAACATATCTTTTCAACAAGTGGCAATGTATTTGATATTCAAATAATAATTATAACTGGCAAGAAATATTATCGTCAACGATGTGATATCATAATGGCAACACGGGGACACAAATTTCCGTTTGAACATTTGCATTTCGTATCCGATTCAACTAATTCACTTGAACGATTGCCAATTATAAAAATAATGAATTAGTCAGATGAAATAGAGGTTATTATACTCAATGTTTGATTCTTGGTGCTGTTCAATGCGAGTATTCAAATAACAAAAACAAGAATGAGATAGTGATGGTTCTATGCTGTGGTGGTGGCACGTTAGTGTCAGTTGCAATTGTCAAATATTTTGTGACAATACTGTCCTTATGCATGAATTATACAAGCCCAGAATGGAGTCATACTCAGTTGTGGGACGTTCGAATTACATTGTGTCATAGAATTACTCAATATTTCGATTGTACATCGAAATGAATTCATAAAACGACACCATTAAGTATGATAAAGAATCAAACACTTCACATGGATATCCGGCAATTCAATGATGCATCCCCACCCGTGACATTTCATTATGTTAAACCTTGGCAATAGCAATTGGCACTTTGGTGAATTTATACAAAAAGATGAAAACATCTTTCTTTCTTCTTTATATTTGACCCATTCCATAAATTCGATTAAAATTTTTTTATTTTTCTAAAATAACAAAGTTAGCAATTACAAAAAAGAAGCATTTATAATGAAACAAATAGCCATGCATCAATCAAACGGTTGGCGATAGTCTTGCTTTCTAAGCATAATAATGATAAAACTCACAAATATGTAATGAATTAGACATGCCAACCAATACTTCTTATAATAGAAGCATACATTCGGTTGAATAACGATCGTATTCTTCTACGCTTAAAACGAGGAGAGGTCGTAGAAGAATCGCTCGTATTCTCTGTTGTTGTTATTTCGAAAACGGCTAAAAAAGGAAGAATTCAAGTAAGGGATTGAAGAGAAAATCATCTACTCTTCGATGTAACAGATGATCGTTTTAATTCTTGATAATGCCCGATTAATTTACAGTTATAATAGTCTAATGAGAAACAAGGCAGACCAAAGCGGAAAAAACATTAAATTTTTCCATAGGTATAATAAGCAAAAAGAAAATCTAAGCAGTTTGAGACCAACAAACACAATTCAAATAATCCCACTCTTTCTCTACATTTTGCTATTACTCAACTTTCTCATCGACGGTGTCCAATCTCTTGCAATGGACCGCTGAGTTTGTGAAACAAGTCATGTATAAAGCGGTCGGTAACTCATGGAATTGCTCGCGTGTATTAGCAGCTGCTATCAGACAGTACTTCTATACAATGCATACATACTTGAGATCGATGAATCTTGAAGATTGATGTTGCTTGTTGTTGTTGTTGGTACTAGAGGAATAGGAGATGTTTTCAAACAAATGAAACAAATAGCCTTTTTTCGAAGCGTTTTTCTACATGAAGACAAGATCAAAACTAATTGAAAATAATTATCTGAAAAACATTTCCAAATATGCCATTCCATACCGGTGTTTTCTTCGAAAACTGCCATGTCTCAGACAAGATTTTCTTGAAAGCTAAAATATCCCTATCTCTCATTAGTTTATCAGATTTTGACTGATAAGAAAGAGTCTGGCGAAACACGCGTTTTTTTGCTTCACTGGCTTTCTGTGTGCCGCTACTGTCAGACAGTACTTCTATACAATGCATACATACGTGAGATCGATGAATCTTGAAGATTGATGTTGCTTGTTGTTGTTGTTGGTACTAGAGGAAGAGGAAATGTTTTCAAACAAATGAAACAAATAGCCTTTTTTCGAAGCGTTTTTCTACATGAAGACAAGATCAAAACTAATTGAAAATAATTATCTGAAAAACATTTCCAAATATGCCATTCCATACCGGTGTTTTCTTCGAAAACTGCCATGTCTCAGACAAGATTTTCTTGAAAGCTAAAATATCCCTATCTCTCATTAGTTTATCAGATTTTGACTGATAAGAAAGAGTCTGGCGAAACACGCGTTTTTTTGCTTCACTGGCTTTCTGTGTGCCGCTACTGTCAGACAGTACTTCTATACAATGCATACATACGTGAGATCGATGAATCTTGAAGATTGATGTTGCTTGTTGTTGTTGTTAGTGCTTGAAAAAGGGATGTTTAAAGTTAGCTGGAAGTGGTAACATAAAAAAGAACTCACTTTTGCTGCAAGGATCCGAGAGTAGAACAATGTACGATACAGATTCTGTGAAGAGAAAGAGGCTAGTATCTTGTCTATCGTCCTGGAGGAGAAACTTACCATATACTTTCTGAATTACACGATCGTAATTAACTAATGTCATTGGTCGAATTTGATTCTTCGTTGCAGTCACACTACAGTTTTCGCGATATTGGGTTGTAACATATATTGTAAAATTCGAATCAAATAAAGCTTGAATTTGTTGGATTTGTTTTCGTGTACAAAATAGAATACAACTTTGTCCAGTTGTATTGGCAGTAGAAGATAGTGCTCGACGCTTTCGTTGTGGTTGAGTTATGCAAGGAGGTGGTAAAGATGAAGGACAAGCACCGATTCTTCCATTCGCAACACCTTTTTTGGGGGTGCTCAAATTATTGAAAATGACAAATCCTTGTTTGAATTTACACCATAAGGTTTGCAAGTATATTGTTCACTTACTTTGCTCGACGTCGCCTGGTTGAAGAATTGGTTACAATTGTGAAATTGGACAAAAGAAAGGTAAGGTCAATGGTGTTTAACTTGTTATTTATCTAGAAGAATAAAAATTAAAAAAAAGAACTTAAGAATTAAGAATTAAGAAGAAAGAAAATTAGAACTACGACTGATGATAAGCATACTTGTTCTTGAAGTGATTCAATCATTAAATTCGTTGGTGTTAACAGGTCTGATGATGTGACATCATCATCGTAAAGAAATGTTAAATTGTTAATGGTATACACTATTGAATAGAATAAAGAAATGGAGAAATTGAGGGGAGACATTCAGACTCTCATACCTGGTACCATAGACTGAGAACGACTGTATGCTCTATTATTAGTATAGAATGGTATTAGTGAGATGACAATAGCAATCGCTATCGATACAATACCAATAAAAGCTAACACTTTAGTAGAATTAAGCATTGAAAAATAAGTAAATATCCAGGCTTGCATACTTGACACTTCAAAAAATCTATGAAATTTGCGATGAAAAAACCTTTATTTTCCGTCATAGTAATGTTGTCGAATTTTTAAAACCATCATATTTATTTCATTTGCCTGCTAATAAGGTTCGAGGGATAATTTTCTCCCCTTCCTTCCTACATATACCGCCCTTATTACCTGTTAATGAACTAAAAAATTATATTATCTTAGCATTCCATCTATGAATTAATCATGTGGAACAATTTGACTGACGCATGCCTTGCGTTCGCCGCAAATTAATTTTGAGTAGTTTTCAGGCAAGCGTTCAGACGAGTGGGTATGTGTGAGACGAATATTCGAAATAGAAGGACCAGAGTGTAACCAACATTTAGTTATCGGAGACATATGTGAATATACAGGGTGTAAGGGCCTATGGGACAGAGCAGGTACGAGTACTTGATGTTGTGAGCGAAACAGCGTTCTAACGTGCTGAGCAAAATATGCATCCTTAGGCCGTATTCGACGCAGATTTTAATGCTCTATAAAGTGAAGTGAATTGATGTTTAGTGCAATCTCACAATTCTCAAAAAAACTTTAAAGCATCTTGAAAAGCACTTGTACTTGACAAGTACAAGTACTTTTGCGATTATTTTGAGTTTATGTGCAAATTAAAGCATTAAGCAAAAGCTACTGATCTGTCACTTTATAGAGCATCAAAACCTGCGCCGAATGCGGCCTATGAATGCATATTTTGCTCAGCAAGTTAGAACGCTGTTTCTTTCACAACATCAGATATGTTTGATGCCCGTAATTAAAGTGAGCTACTCAACAAATTGCTTCTTTAAGTGAGTCAGAAGTTTCGAACTCAATCTCAGCTTGACACCTAAACGTACGAAAAGAAATAGAGACTTTGTCGTTTAACAACAAAGAAGTACTATTGAGAAGAAACAAGAGTTAGAGCAAAATTACCGAGATCAGCATTATTTATGGTACATCCGTTATATGAGAAACGTTTCTAAGTTTATAACTTTCTTACTATATGAGCTAGCGGGGTCAATCAATAGTCATTTTGTATAGCGTGTTTTACTGTATCCTTTCTTCATAGAGACAAATTTACAACCACTTGTTTCACTATAGAAAAAATTATTATTCAAATCGGGTCAGGACTTCTGAGCCACCCTTTATTGTAATTAGTTTTCTCTTCGTAAACCGCAAAGCTTCGAAAAATCACCGATTTTTATCGATGTGACGGTGATTTCTGGTCAGTCGATCCGATTATAATTTTTTCAATCGGTTACAACTCTGTCTGAGCTTGTTTTGAGATATTCAAAAGGCATCATCGATCTAGACGAAAAATCTTCCTTGGAAATTAAATCCTAAGGCGAAGAATATTGCATATAAGGGTGTGGTGAACTTTAGTCGACAATAAATTTTGCTATTTTTGAATATTTTCGATGGTATTACAACAAAATAAAGTCAACGATGGCAAAGAACGCGAGTTATCAGTGGTGATTATTGATGCAAATAAATCGAATGAACCCGTAAATGATTATATTGATGCTGCCCAGTCATCGTACGAAGAGACATTGGGTATTGTTTCGAATAGAGACGATCCTAAAATGTTATGTTTAACAGTTCGTAGTTGTACTATTGGCATTTTATTTATCATATTAATTTCGACTATCAATTCCTATTTTTATTTTCGAACACGATACTATGCTTTTCCAGCATTAATCGTTTTCCTTTTGTCATTTCCGTTCGGTAAATTTCTTGAATGGTGTCTACCGAAATGGACTTTATGTGGCAATATATCATTAAATCCGGGTCAATTTTCGATCAAGGAACACGCTGCGATCTATATGATGGCAAATGTAGCTGTGCAATATTCTTATGCAGCTGATATTATTGTTATTAAACAAGCATGGTATTTCACAAAGACAAACTATGCTCTTGCTCTATTTTTTGTTTTATCCATCCAGATAATCGCTTTTGGCATGGCAGGTGAGTTGGTGGCGACTATTTTCTGTCCTTTTGTAACACTTTTATAGAGAATCTCTCAGTCAAGTACAGTCTTCTAAACGTGAAAGAAAGTTTATTAGAGTTAGTTAATGGTATTAATATCGCGTCCTGGTGAAGACTACAAGAACAAAGTTATGATAAAAGAAAAACATATTTTGCATGGACACAAGAGGTGCAAAAGTTTCAATTTATTATTTGATGATTGTTCGTTCGCTTTTCAACGCGTCACATTGAGGATGACACTTGTAAGCTCTCACAGTTGGTTTTAGCTGCATTTGTCATCTCTCGCAGTAATTTCCACGAGTTCACAGTTGTTGTGCTGCTGTACTCAAATTTAAAATCTATTATCCTTGCATCACTTTCTACAATGTACTAATTTGAATTTCATATTGCTTAAGTTATTGGATGATCAGTTTTTTTGGTGAAATTTAATGAGTACTGATTAATACTGATAAATTTTGAGAAGATTTTCATACTATTAGACAGGTGACAGTTCGATTTATCTCCCTGGTTAATGCCACTCTCATCCGTGACTTAAATCTGCTCAAAAAGACTGCAAAAGTTCGTTCTAGTAAAACGTTTATTAGCATCTTATTAAGATCTTTCTAAAAAGTCGTTTTTATTTGTCGAAGATCTTAGACGATCGGTTACAACTCTGGTTCATAGTTGCTCTCTTGAGAATGTTTAACAGTTGTTAGAAGATCTACAGTTAAGATTCAGAAACGGATGTCCAAAAATATAAAAAAGTTCTTCATTCTTCAAAGCTGTTGAATTACTAGCATCCGATCCTAAAAAAGTCTTAATCAAATTAATCTACATCTTGATAAGGGCTGAAATCTTACCGAAAACCTATAAAATCTTAAATTTTTCGAATCTCACTGGTGTACGTGTACAAGGGCGGGTGCACAGTGGGCATTTTTTGCTAGAGCAGGCGGACTTTAGCTTTATGAGTGAACTAAAATTTCATGAACCATTTTTTTATAGGTTTTTCATGATCCTCTTTCTAATGGCATGAGAGTTGGGCTTTGAA